GGGGGGCCCCCCGGGGAGCCTCCCCGGGGGGCCCCCCGGGGGCGCCCCGGAGGGGGCCCCTGGTGGGGGGGCCCCTAGGGGGTCGGGCAAGAAAAGGATGTTTTTGTTTTTTTGGATTTTTTGCAAGTCCAAGAGGGCCTTTTGGACGAGGACTTCGTCGGGCTGCTGCACTGCAGCGGGGCCCCGGGGGCCGCCAATAAAAGAGGTAAAGATTTCAAACCCTGGGGGCCCCCGACCCCTAAAGACTTTCGAAACACTAATGCCCCCCAGGGTCTCCCAGCCCTCAGCTTCGGCCTCGTCCGAGGCCACCAGAAACCCAAAGCCCTCGGGCGTCAGGGGGCCCCCCTCCTCGGCCGGGGCCCCCCCTGGGGGGCCCCCCTGGGGGGCCCCTGAGGGGGGCCCCTGGGGGCCCCCCGGGGGGCCCCCACGGGAAGCTGGCCGCAGCGCCAGAGTCACTAATGCAACAGAAGAGAAAGGAAGCTCCTGCAGCAGCCGAACAGCTTCTGGGCTAAGAATGGGCCGGCCAGCTGCTTGCTGTACCCCCTGGGGGGCCCCCTGAGGGGGGCCCCCCTGGGGGCCCCCCTCATGGGGGGCCCCCTGGAGGCCCTCTTGGGGGCCCCCTGGGGGGCCCTCGCCAGCAGGGGCCTTTCCCCCAGGGGCCCCCCCAGCGGACCCTTCAAGGGCCCCCCCAGAGGCCCCAGAGACCCCTTGCGGGGGCCCCCCGGGGGGGCCCCCCAGGGCAGCAAGGGGGGGCCCCCAGCCCGGGGGAGGGGGGCCCCCCAGTATCTTTGCTGCCTCCTTTGGGTGGACAGTTAAGAGGACGTGGCTGGCGAGGAGGGTTTGGAAGTGCCCGGGGGGCCCCTCAGCAGCAACAGCAAACCCTTCAGACCCCTTTTCGAAATCCGAAAGGGGACAAATAAACAAAACCCGCAAATGCATGCGCATGCAAGCCCCAGGCAAAGCCCCACAAAGCCCCACTGCCAGCGACTGCATGCCCCCCTCCAAGTTCGCCACGCAGGGGCCCCTCGCGCCCCCCGTGGGGTCTTTATAAATACTGGGAGTCTCGGGGGGCCCCCCGGGGGGCCCCCCGGGGCGTCCCCTTGGGTTGGCCCCGAGCAGGGGCCCCCCTGGGGGGCCCCCGGGGGGGCCCCCTGGGGGCGGGGGGGCCCCCTGGAAGGGCCTCTTGAGGGCACGAAGTGCTGCTGCTGCTGCTGCTCTTATGAGGCCCTTATCAAGAGTCTCCTTAAGGGCCGGGAAGGCCCTGGGCATTGACAAAGCAGCAGCAGCAGCAGCAAAAACTCCCGTGGCTAGGGGCCCCACAAGCCTGCTTGCTGCTTCGGGGCCCAGTACTGCTGCTGCGTAAGCAGCAACTGTGGGGCCGTCCTGCTGCTGTGGGGCGGGCTGCGGTGTACATA